TATGTCCTTTACTTGGAAGGGGAAGACGTTTTATCTCTTGTATTAGACACGCAAGGGGAGTAGGGAGAAGTGAAGCCCTCTTTGGAGTTCGAGGGGTCCCCGCACATGCAACCATTTCAAGAAGTACATATGCCCCACCTGCGTGCCCTCTGTTGTTGCCGGTAGATCTAACCAGTCCGTATCCAAAAACACGAACACCGCCATGCACTGTTCGAACCCGTTCTCGACTAGCGTATCAGCAGCGTGGTACCCCCACTGCCTACCGCTCTGCTTCCGACCGTAAATCGCACGCTCAGCCATAACAATCTTATGCGATGTGTCCCCGCACCCCGCGGGGAGCCTCAGAAAAGCCTCCTCGTCTAGCGTGGCGTGTGTGTACGCCTGCTTCACATCCCAGTGATTGAGGTTGATGCCCTTCTCGTTTGCTACCGCAAGCATCAATTTAATGGATGCGGATGATGGGCAAGGGGAAGACAAATGGAGATAATCGACCTCCGGGATTTGCGAAATCCCCCTGGCAACCAGACACGCTTTGAACTTTCCTATCTTCCCTTCCTTGTTTGTCTTCCAACTAAAACACCACTTTGAGCTCACGGGCCTGCGCCCCTCTGGCGTGCCGTCTACGAATGAAAACGTCCCCGCGCACAGGTGCCCTCCAAACTCTTCCTTCATGGCCTGTTCCCAACCCTCTCTGTACACAGACTTGACAACGCCGGCTACGGTCATGGGGGGGGGGTCTCTTCACTCGGACGCTTGCCTGTCGGGGATTCACTTAGCTTGTGGGACGCCAGAGCCGTCTCGAAGGCGTCTGGCGAGTTGAGCATGAGGTCCACAGCACCCAGCAGAAAGTTCTCCGCCTCTTTGCGCGCAGCGTGGGCCTCCTGCGCGCGCTCGGACAGCAACTCTCGCACCACCCTCGCCTCTAGCCCCTCCGCCACGTGAAGTACTGCCGAGAGCATCCAGCGGGTGAACTCCTCCGTGCTGCTGTCGGGCAGGCTCGCCACCGAGGCGAGCAGGGCTTCGGCACTTGTCGGCGACGGGGCCGATGTGGGCGGCGACGGGGGCGACTCGTACCTCGGATTTCGGCGAGGGTTCTCCCTAGTGCGGCGGCTGGTGAGTTCCGCCGGCTTGTCGAAGCGGGCGAGCCGCCGNCCCTTTCGCCACGTGAAGTACCGCCGAGAGCATCCACCTGGTGAACTCCTCCGTGCTGCTGACGGGCAGGCTCGCCACCAAGGCGACCATGGCTTCGGTACTTGTCGGCGACGGGGGCGACTTGTACCTCGGGTTTCGGCGAGGGTTCTCTCTGGTGCTGCAGCTGGTGAGTTCCGCCGACTTGTCGAAGCGGGCGAGCCCGGGCGAGCCGCCGGGCTTCTGGCCCGCGGAGCGCCGGGAGATCCGTCTCGCTGCCGCTGCCGCTGCCGCTGCCGCCGCTACCGCGGCTGCTGCTGCGGCGGCGGTCGTCCTCGCCGCCGCCCACATCGGCCATGCCGGCCGACGTCGTAGATG